TTTCATAGAGAGATTGATAGAGGGATAGACGTAAATTGGGAAATCTATCTATCTATCTATCTATCTATCTATGTATCTATCACACACGCGCGTGTGTACACACACACACACACACACACACACACACACACACACACACACACACACACATATATATATATATATATATATAAAGAAATGAATTAAAACCGACAGTAATTTAATATATTTTGTAACTCTTATGGGAACCGTCATACAGCCTGACGCGCTGTTACCATTACCATTACAAATGTGTGTGGGTGTGTGTGTATGTATATATATATATACATACACACACACACACACACACACATATATATATATATATATATATATATATATATATATATATATATATGTGTGTGTGTGTGTGTGTGTGTGTGTGTGAATATATATAAAAAATAGGAAGAACTCGTTAGGTGAATAATACAAAGTTCTTTAGTATTTTTATTTATTATTTTAAAAAAATAGTGCTCGATACAAAAAGTAGAGCATAAATATAATTATTTATTTAAAAATATGATTCAAAACAAGAGACGAAAGAGGTCTCATGTTTTGAAACATGAGAGTTTTATGTCTCGTTTTGGAATCATATAAATAAAAAAAAAATATATATATATATATATATATATATATATATATATATATATATATATATATATATAGATATATATAGATACAAATAGATAGATAGATAGACAGACACATACATACACTCACAGGCACAGCCATACATATATATATATTTATAGATTCATCTTTGTGTGTTTATGTATATGTCTGTGCTAATGTGTGTGTGTTCATGTTTTTATGTGTGTGTGTATATATATATATATATATATATATATATATATATATGTATATACACACACACATATATATATATATATATATATATATATATATATATATATATATACAGAGAGAGTCAAAGACAGATAGATAGATAGATAGATAGAGACATACATACACTCACATGCACAGATATACATATATATATATATTTTAGATTCATCTTTGTGTGTTTATGTATATGTCTTTACTAATGTGTGTGTGTTCATGTTTTCATGTATGTGTGTGTGTGCGGCGTGTTTATATTGATGCTTGTTCGACAGTGAATTGTCATGTGTTTTCATCGCCGCGTCTCGTCGGCAACAATTCGCCAATCTTTGTTCTCGTCGGATTTCCCTTCTCAGCCCCCCCCCCGCTTGAAAGTCGTGTTGCTGGTGCGCAGAAAGGCCACGAACAAAACCCGCCTACAATAGTCACAAGTCATTTGTCACAATGATGCTTAGCGTTTCTAATTTCTGAAGAACTCCCATTCATATCGACGCCATTTTTCGTTTCTGTTTTCTCGTGCGTGGCATCACGCAGCCTCCATCCCCGTGAAATAAAGAGCGGGTTTTTATTTAATGGAAAGGTTTGGCTGGCTCGGAGCTCAGTGGGGTAGAGACTATGAGTGAAGGGGGGGCTTCTGGGGTTGTTGTCAAAGGCGGTACTCGAGTAAAAATGATAGGTATAAAGAAAGAAATATAGAAAGAATGAAAATACGAAAAATAGAATAATACTAATACAAATAATATTAATGGAAGATAGATATTTAAAAAAGATGGAGAATGATAATAAAAGCGAAATGTCCAAGAAAAACAGCGCATGCGCAAAAAAGAAAGTAAGAGCAGAAGAAAGAAAGAAAAAGAAATAATGATGAAAATGAAGTAAAAATAACAGCCACATATACGAGTAAAAATTCTGCTTGAATAGAAAATAAGAAAAATGTTTATATATAAGAAGAATATATGTAAAATATATGTAAAAATGTATGAAAATCAAGGGAAAAAAATTGTTGCGGAAGAAAAGAATGAAATTAAGAAGAAGTGAGGTAAAACAAAATGAAAAATAAATATCTAAAAATATGTAAAGAAAGAAAGAAAAAGAAAGAAAGAATCAAAGAAAGAAAAAATGAAAGAAAGAAAGGAAGAAAGAAAGAAAGAAAGAAAGAAAGAAAGAAAGAAAGAACCAAAGAAAGAACCAAAGAAAGAAAGAAAGAAAGAAAGAAAGAAAGAAAGAAAGAAAGAAAGAAAAAGTGAGTTAAAGCAGAATTTTAATTTATTTGAAAATGATAAAATGAATCGAAAAATATGTAAAGAAAGAACGAACAAAAGAAAGAAAGAAAGGAAGAAAGAAAGAAAGAAAGAAAGAAAGAAAAAATTTAAAAAATAAGGTAAAGCAGAATGCCTATTTAAAAATGAAAAATAAATCTAAAAATATGTAAAGAAAGAAAGAACGAATAAAAGAAAGAAAGAAAGAAAGGAAGAAAGAAAGAAAGAAAGAAAGGAAGGAAGAAAGAAAGAAAGAAAGAAAGAAAGAAAGAAAGAAAGAAAGAAAGAAAGGCAGAAACAAAAGGTGAGGTAAAGCAGGATGCTTATTTAAAAATGAAAAATAAATCTAAAAATATGTAAAGAAGAAAGAAAAAGGAAAGAAAGAATGAAAGAAAAAGAAAGAAAAGGCTGGGAAAAGAAAATTCATTTAAAAAAACTATATTTAAAAATGAATAACGTTTGAAAAAAGAAAATTGAGAAGGAAATAAAGAAAAAAGAAAAAATATTTTTTAAAAAAAGGGAAACTATATCTAAAAATGTCTGAAAGTCAAAGAAAAAATTTTGAGAAAGAAAGAAAGAAAAAAAGAAAAAGAAAATCCGGAAAAAATCAAATTTCTTTAAAAAAAAATACTCTATTTTAAAAAATGTATGAAATTCAAGGAACGAAAATTGAAGATAAAGAAATAAAGGAAAAAGAAAGAAAGGAAGAAAGAAGGAAAGAAAAATCTTCATTGAGAAAAAAAGGAAAAATATAACTAAAATATGTGAAAGTCAAAAGAAGACTGCTGAGACAAATAAATGAACAAAGAATAAAAGAAAGAAAAAAAACTGTTAAAAGAAATTTTATTAAAAAAAATGTATATTTAAAAAGCATAAAATTCAAAGAATGAAAACAGAAGAGAAATAAATAAATAAGAAAAGAAAGAATATTTATTGAGAGAAAATATAATTAAAATTTTAAACAAAGAAAGAAAATTGCTGAGAAAGACGGAAACAAAAAAGAAAAGCAGGAAAAAGAAAATTTAATTTAAAAAAAGAAAAATATGTTTAAAAAAGGAAGAAAAAAGAAGGAAAAAAAAAGAAGAAATAAAAAGGATAGAAAAGTTAAAATGTAGCAAAAATAAATGGGGAAATAAAGCTTATTTTAAAAAATATATATATATATATATATATATATATATATATATATATATATATATATATATATATATAAATATTTAAATATATATTTTAAAAATATATCGGTCAAAGTAATATAAGTGCAATGACAGAAAGAAAGAAAGAAAAAGTGTGGAAGAAAAGAAAGAAAGAAAAATGTGGAAGAAAAGAAAGAAATTTTCTTAAAGAAATGAAAAATATATCTAAGCATATCGAAAAGGTAAAGAAAGCAAGTTATTAAGAAAAAAGAACGAAAGATGTATGGAAGGCAAGAAATGAAACAAAATTATTGAGAAAAAAGAAACCAAAAAGTATGGAAGGAAAGAAAAAGATTTTATTTAACAAAGGAAAATATATTTAAACATGTTGAAAATGAAGAGACAAGAAATTATTAAGAAAAAGAAAGAAAGAAATATGGAAGGAAAGAAAGAGATTTTACTTAAAAAAGGAAAATCTTCAAAAGTATGTTGAAAAGGAAAAGAAAGAAGATTATTAAGAAAAAGAAAGAAGTATGGAAGGAAATAAAGAAAATTTATAAAAAATAAAAAAAAAATGTTTGAAAAATGTCGAAAAGGTACAGAGAAATTCATTGAGAAAAAGAAAACAAGCAAAAGCAAGAGAAAAAATATTTAAAACAGGAAAAGTATATATTTAAAAATGAACAACGGCCAAAGAAGAAAAAATGAGAAAGAAAGATAATAAGAAAGAAAGAAAGAAAGAAAGAAAGAAAAAAGGAAAGAAAGAAAGAAATAATAAATATAAAAAAATGAACAAAGAAAGAAACAACTCGAGTCAACGTATAAATATTTGCCTCTTCGCGCGTGGCAGCTTCTTTCTCCGTGAAATACAGACTAATGTTTTGTTGTTGTTTTTTTTTTTTCTATAATGGAAAGGTTTGGCTGACTCGGAGTTCAATAGGGCAGAGGCGTAGAGTAAGGGGGCTTCTTGGGTTGTTGTCAAAAGCCGGACTCGGGAAAGGAGATGAAAGGGAAAATCTATAACGAAGTAAAGATGATAGAATTAAGAGTTAGATGTGGAAAGTAAGGTTAAAATCATGGGAGGGAATTATTATGGTTGGGGATATGAAATGAAAGAACGTATCAAAATGAAGAGGTGGACTAAAGAAAGAGAAGATAAAATGGAAACAAAAAAAAAATGTGTGAGAGATGCCGGATTTGAATGACGGGCCTGTTGAAAGGGACTGTGCGTGAAAAAAACTTCTGACAGAGACGAAAGGATGGCGTCAAGTAGATATAGAAACAAACGGGGAAGAGAAAAGAGCGGGAACAAGGACTAACATTAGAAAGGGAATATTTAAAACATAGAAACGGAGAAAGACATTTTTGATAAATGCAATGGAATTAAACAAAAATATATAGCCGGGTGTGTTGAAACGAATAGGACGAAAGAGAAACGCAAATGAAAGCTGAAGAAGAAATTAGTGAGAAAGAATATGCAGGAAAAAAAAAGAAAATTATTATTTTAAAAAGAATGTGAAGAAAAAAGAAGTGACTAAGAAACAGGTGAAGAAAAAAAGTGAAGTAAAGAAGAATGAATATCTAAAATGAAAAGTATATCTAAACATGAAAAGAAAGAAAGAACGAATAAAAAATGAAAAAGAAAAGGAAACAAAGAAAGAAAAAGAAAGAATGTATGAAAAAGAAGAGCTGGGAAAAGAAAATTCATTTTAAAAAAAGAAAAATATGTTTAAACATTTAGAAAAAATTAAAAAAGAAAATTGAAGCGAAGAAAATAAATGAAAAAGAAAGAAAGAAAGAAAGAAAGAAAGAAAGAAAGAAAGAAGCAAAGAAAGTATGTGTATTGAAAAAAGGGAAATATAAATAAAATGTCTGAAAGTCAAAGAAAAGTTGTTGAGAAAGAAAGAAAGAAAGAAGAAAAAAGAAGAAAAAAGAAAATCCGGAATAACAAAATTCCTTTAAAAAAAATACATATTTAAAAATGTATAAAATTCAAAGAATAAAAATTGAAGAGAAAGAAATAAAAGAAAGAACTAACTAAAGAAAAGGATGTTCATTGAGAAGAAAGGAAAATATACTAAATATGTGTGAAAGTCAATGACTCTTGAGATGAATAAAGAAAAGCTGTTAGAAGAAATTTCATTAAAAACAAAGAACAAGTATATTTAAACATGTATAAAATTCAAAGAAGAAAGATTGAAGAGAAAGAAATAAAGGAAAAATAAATGAATAAATAAACAGGAAAAAAAAGAAAGTTTTTGTATAGCCGGATGGTTTGAAACGAATAGGACGAGAGAGAAAAGAAAATGAAAGCTGAAGAAGAAATTAGCGACAAAGAATATGAAGAAAAACTGTTCACAATAAAAGAATGAATGCAATTCTTTTTAAAAGAATGTGAAGAAAAAAGAAGTGACGAAGAAAAAGTAGAAAATTAAAAGAAAAGTGGAAATGCATGATTTAAGAAAGAAAAACGAAGTAAATGATACGTTTTTGTTTATGATTAATAATGAATGAAGAAATAAATGTAAAAGGTGAAGAATAATGACAAGAAAGAAAAACAATAGAAGAAGAGAAAGAGAAAAAAAATCAAGAATATGTGTGTGTGTGTGTTTGTAAATATATATATATATATATATTGAAAGAATAAGGTAAAAAGAAAAATGAAATAAAGAACAATGAAGGAAAATAGAAAGAAGTATGGGAAGAAAGAAATGTGAACGAAAACGAAAAAGAAAAAAATTAGAAAAATTATGGAAAGAAGGAAAAAATGAATGAGAAGGAAAAAAAAAAGAAAAAAGAAAAAACATGAAAGAAACACAAAGATAAAGAATAAGAAAAGAAAAAAAAACTTGAAAAACAAGAAAAAAGAAAAAAGCATAAAAGAAATACACAAATGAAGAAACATGCAAAAAAAAGAAAAAAGAAAGAAAAAAGAAAAAATACATGAAAAGAAAGAAAAAGCATAAAAAAGACAAACATAAAGAAGCATGGAATGAAATAAAGAAAAAAAAGCAAAGTAAAAAAAAGAAAGAAGGAAGAATATAAAGAGAAAGAAAAAAGCAATTAAAATTAGGAACAAAAAATATAAATATTTTAAAAAATTAAAAATTAGGAACAAAAATATAAATGTTGAAACGAATACAAAGTAAAGTATATAAGAAAGAAAGAAAGAAAGAAAGAAAGAAAGAAAGAAAAAGTAAGAAAGCAGAAAAAAGATAGAAAAAATGGAATGAATGAAAAAAGAAAGAATGAAAGAAACAAAAAAAAATAATTACAATTAAATAACGAAGGAGGGGAGGACGCGGAGAAAGGATTAATGTAAAATATTTCTGAAAACAAAAATATTTATTGGAAGTAAAACATATAAAATAAATAAAGTCTCTAAAAGCAAGCAAGCAAAAAAGAAAGAAAGGGACTTAAAGTAAAGAAAAAAAAAAGAAGGAAAATAAAAATATTAAAAAAAGAAATAGAATATATGTATATATAAATAAGAATGAAATAAAAAAGAATGAAAGAAAAAGAAACAAGAAAGTATATTTAAAAAGGGAAAAATATATATTTTAATTACATAAAAAACGGAGGAAATAATGTCACCTAAAAAAGTAAGGTTGAAAAATAAATAAGAAATAAAGGAATTAAACGAACAAAAACTACAGTTAAAAAAATACCGGATGCAAATGCGGGCAAGAATAGGAGCAAACGGTTCAAACAAACAGAGAGAAAGAATGAAAAATTCAAAATAAACTGATGAAAGAGGAATACAAAGAATGAGATTGGCTGAATAAACACTTCTGAACAAAATGGCGTCGATGGCGGAGCTTTGCCGGAAGAAATGAGGCGGGAAAAGTATGAGTGAAGAGAAGAGGTGAATAATGGCCGACCTATTGAAAAGATTGTCATTAGTCTGAGAAGAGACGTTTTATCAATTATGGGCCAGTTGGCAATTTTATTATAGCGCTAATCGTGTCATCTACTACAATTATAAATATGAATAAACTTCACATACACACACAGACACACGCATACAAAACATATATATATATATATATATATATATATATATATATATATATATATATATATATGCGTTCGTGCGTTTATAGATAGATAGATAGATAGACAGAGAGAAAGAGAGAGAGAGAAATTATATAGAAGTAATACCTCCCTTTTTTATAGAAACTACACAGCATACAGGGGAAAAAATAAAACCGTTTGATAAAGCAAAATTTAAGCGAGAAACACACGATTTGTCCACAGATTCCACAACACGGGCTAGGCATTTTCGCTGCTCTCTATATTTCCTGGTTTAACTGCTTCACAAGCGGTCAAGAACATGGCTTGTCAAACATAACTTTCTTGTAATGACTGAAACGTATTAGCTGCGGTCAAACTGTGGTCACGTAAACCAGTTGGTCACCATGTTAGGAATCAACGATTTTTAATTTTAACTGACAGTATAGATTGTCTTATGTAGTATCTAGACTTTTAGGAAGGTTTTATTTCCCAAACACGGTCAGCACATTGTGGCCGTGATCATAGTTGATATTACTGAGTGTTGGCCTTTTTTTTTTTTTTTTTTTATTAATAACGCTTCCATTGGTAGCCTTTCTTTGCATGTAGGTGAGGTTATTATATTTGAATTATCAACGAGTTTGCTGCGGATAGAGTCTCCATGTGTATTTAAATGAGACGTAATTGAGCTATGGTTAGATATATATAACGTAAGTCTTTTTGTTAGGCATGTTGTAGTATATCCAATATAATTTGGGTTGAATAACTCTAGGGTTGAATAACTTTAGATGCAAACAGAAATAATCCATACGTTCGTTTAGAAGTAAAAAAATAAAATCATCTTTGATAATGGCTAAAATTACAGACGAAACATTTTGGACGATTTCTACAGAAAAGAAGGAAAGATATAAGAACTCAAGAAACATTAAATAAAAAACAAATTAACAGCAAAAATTTGTCAGGTGTTCTTAACGAAACTTGTATTAAAGAAGGATTGCTGCACAAATACACAATTATATATATATATATATATATATATATATATATATATATCAAATATGTATAAACAAAATTCAACAGTTATTTAGGCACTTTTGTTTATTACATAAAATTGCTGTTATTACATCGAAAGAGTGGACGGACAGGAACGCCTACGAATCTCTGGAGTCAGGATGAGGTAACAAACATAATATATATATATATATATATATATATATATATATATATATATATACACACACATATATATATATATATATATATATATATATATATATATATATATATACAGAGAGAGAGAGAGAGAGAGAGAGAGAGAGACCGGTTGCTACGGAAAATGTCTAAATACACACATATATATATATACATATATATATATATATATGTGTGTGTGTGTGTGTGTGTGTGTGTGTGTATGAAATATGGATAAACAAAATTCAACAGCATTTAGGCACTTTTGTTTATTTTACGTTAAATTGCTCTTATTCCTTTGAAACTCTGGAGTCAGAATTTTGTGACAAACATCATTTATATATATATATATATATATATCGCGAGAGAGAGAGAGAGAAAAAGAGAGAGAGAGAGAGTGACCGGTTACTAACAGCAAACTTGTCCAATTGTTAGATTATGCTTTGAACCGTTGTATCTTATAAATGATTAAAGCTATCTTACTGGATTTCTCCGAGGTTTTTGTAAAACTATTAGAATCTACTTGAGCAATAATAAAGTATTATTACTCCCGATGCTTAACAGAAGAATCGTGATGAAATCGATCTTAAACGAAAATGACATGTTCATCATAAATTAATCATAGTTTATGATCGGAAACTCATGAAGGATTGAAATAAAGTTCATATATATATATATACATATATATATATTCGGGTTTAGTTTTATAAAATTTCATCCCTTTAAAACGAATACATTGCATCCTCCTCTGACCACTTTCCTCGTGCCTTTCGTCTGACTGAAACATTGAAATAGATAAATTATGTATTGATTTTTCGAGTGTTTTTTTTAAATATTTTTTTTATTTTAGCTTTCACAATTAAGTTTCTATTTCTGAAACGAATTCTGCCCAAACCGGGATTAATAAGTCAGAAGACTAATATCTTCGTCTGCCGAAATAGACTATTCCCATATGGGGTGATTTTGGATCTTATTCTTTATTAAATATATTGCTCTGTAATAATTAATACGTTGAGTACTTTTCATAGAATAATTTTGATATTTTATATTACTAGGATCCACTTGGATTATATTACATCTCTCTCTCTCTCTCTCTCTCTCTCTCTCTATATATATATATATATATATATATATATATATATATATATATATATATATATATATATATATATGCATGTAAGCAAATATATGGATATAAATCCGACAGTATGAAGAAAAATATATACGGAAAAAACAAACAAAAATCCTTATATACAATTATGCTGTTTTAATGTTAATATGTCAACGTCGGACGTTTCGGTCTAATAAACCATCTTCAGGACATATTCATAAATGTTGTATTGATAATGTTATAATTTATGAATATGTCCTATATAATGTAAGTGTATTTAAACTCGATGGGTAAAAAAACCTGGATGGCACAATTCTCAAATAAATTGGCATCCGATGAAAAATGGAAAAAAAAGAAAGCACCAGAAACCTCTGAACAGGGCGAAAATGTCGTCCAATGCCTTAGATCTCTGGTACAAAGAAAAAAACCAACGAGTTTATAAGTTAAAACGAAGAGTGCTTAATACACTAAGCAGAGAAAAAGTAAAATAAATAAATCCTTATGAGCCAGATAATACCTACCAATGTTTCACCACATAGGATCATCGGAGTAAACTGGATAGCCAGTTCACCCTCATGATCATATGTGAGAGAGAGAGAGAAAGAGAGAGAGAGGATAGATATAATTTATACCTTGTAGAAAAAATTACATCTATAATATATATATATATATATATATGTCTATATTTCTGAGATGAGGTATTATGTACATTATTTACATTATTCGGACTATTGCCCTCTTTGTCGCCATATTTATCATATTGATAAATATGGTGACAAAGATGAGGACTATAGTCCGAATAATGTAAATAATGTATATATATATATATATATATATATATATATATATATATATATATATATATAAATGTATGTATATATATATATATATATATACAAAATATATATATATATGTATAGATAGATAGATAGAGATAATGAGGAGGATTAGAAACAAACACACATATATACATATATATGCACACATATATATATATATATATATATATATATATATATAATATATATATATATATATATATATATATATATATATTTATATATTATATATGCGCGGTAATTATTGGAAAGCGGTCAATATCAGTGACAGAACCAACTTATTTTGGTGGATTGAGTTTGTGACCCTGGGTTTGTTTGTATTTAAGGATCGTCAGACAAACTATGACGATCGCAAATAGTGTGAAACCCAGGGTCACAAAATCACATCAATCCAACTAAACACACACACACACACACACACATATATATATATATATATATATATATATATATATATATATATATGGCATCAATGACATGTGGGAAAAATCTTATATTTTTCCGACTTTTTCAAGGCAAACAGAAATCGAAATGTTTTTGTTGTTATAGTTACAATAAGAATCCAAATTTAAAAGGATAGAATTTAACTATATATATATATATATTTATATATATATATATATATATATATATATATATATATATATATATATATAATATATATATAAACTTGCTTGCCATTCTCTTTCGAACTGTTATAATTGCATTCGTACCTTCTCCGTATGTATCCAAGTACATGACTTGTAGATCTTGTTTGGATGAATTTTGGGATTAAAACCGAACTGTGCACTTTAACGTATCATTGCTCTGTTCAGATCACACGCAATAATATAACAAGCTGCGTATACCTGCCTCGCAATATCAAAATCCCTCCCCGTCACGTTCCATCTTAATTACCTCGCCACCATTAAGCTACACCCACCCAGGCCCGCTGCCAAATTTCCGTTTCACCCCCAACCTCTCTTTCGGCACATATCCGCCTTTTCTTTCTTTTACTTCTTTATTTTGTCTTTTTTTATTTTCTTTTCGCTTTAATTGTATTTCTTTTCTGTTCTTCTCAACTCAATGATGAGAGCATTAAACTTTCTAACAATTATCAGTCGCCATTAATTGTTTGATCGATTTCATGCAGGTGCGACATGCTCACGACAACAACAATAAGAAAAGCCAAAAGAAAAATGAGTGGAAGGCATGGCTCTTCTGGTAGGTGACATATTTCGCTCGCAAGATGTGAAGATATGTACTAACATTAGCTAAGTCTGGCACAAGACTACGGGTAGATAATTGTTTTTCTTTTTTTTTTTTTAAATAAGCAAAATATCTATTATACATAAGTATTTCGTTGTTTGAGGAGGCCACGTGGAATTAAAGATTGAGGAGTCGGAGAGCCGAGTTCGAATTCCACAACGAATCCATTACATTCACTTACGTACTAATACTCTTGGGAAAGGTATGAATCCTCTTCTTCTCCCCCTGCCAGCTATGGGTAAGTAGCAGAATAGACCGGGTTCTAGAGCCTGGGATGGCAAATGGTCTACCACAGAAAGAAATGGCAACCTACTGCGGGAAAAAAATCTGCCTCGTCAGTCATGTATCGAAAGATACACGCTTAAGTGTGTATCACGCATGGCACATAACTGATTTCGTTGTTTGCATTACAATTTTTATCCCCTTACACAAAACACATATCTAATTCCACGTCGACTTACGACCACGATGGATCACTCTG